ATGTCTAACTATTTAGTATGATATATATTTAAGTAGCCTTAAAAAAAATAGGTTTTTTTTTTACATGGGGAAGACGAGGAGCCCCCGCCTGCCACTGTTTATCCGGGAGCTTGAAGTGGAGAGGGTGAGCAGCTTTAAATACCTGGGCATCTACATCTGTGAGGACCTCACCTGGACACTGAACACCACACAGCTGGTCAAGAAAGCTCAACAACGGCTGTATTTCCTGAGGAGGCTGAGGAAGTTTGGCATGTCACGCAAGATCCTCAGCAATTTCTACAGCTGCATTGTGGAGAGCACGCTGACCAGCTGTATCACCGCATGGTATGGCAGCACAACTGCTATGGACCGCAAACGCCTGCAGAGAGTGATAACAACTGCGGAGAAGATCATTAGGACTCCACTGCCCTCTTTGCAGAGCATTTACCATCGCAGAGCACTGAGGAGAGCTGCCTCCATCCTCAAAGACCCGACACACCCCCAACACGGACTGTTCACACTCCTGCCCTCGGGACGAAGGTGTGTGAAATCTAGAACATCCCGGCTAAACAACTCTTTCTTCCCCACTACAATCAGACTCCTAAATAGACGACCTACCTCATTTACATAACAGATCACTTTGCATATCATGACCTACCTCATTTGCACAACAGGTCACTTTGCACTTTAAGCTCTTTCTGTACATATGATAATAAACGCTTTGAATCTTGAATCTTGAATCTACCTCCCCTCAAACCAGGCGCCCCCTGCTGGCCACATGAAACGAAAGCAGCTTCCAGCTCCTAAGCTCTTCAGAATTGCTGCAATACTCCAGTGCAGTCACTGGAGACAAAAAGAGGTGCTGGCAAACTGGCTGAGGTTACGGCAGAGATGAGGGGGGGTGGGATTGGGATGCACTATGAGACCCACAATGGGCGGGATCATCATATGCTGCCAGTCACGGCCTCAGCGGCTTCCCGTTTGCTTACATGGAGACATGAGTAAGCAGGAGGAGGCTGATCGGTGGGTCTCACCGTAGTGGAGTTTTACTATGAATGGATGGTTCACTTCAGCCAGAATGTCTCTCTCCATCTTTGATCGCACTCTGTCTCGCACTGAAAAGGCAAAGGGAAGTCAGAAGAAGATCACAACTGGAAGTAATGAAATAGGGTTACATGGAGACATGACACTCCAGAAAAACATGAACACCAAAGAGAAGTTATTGGACAGAAAATCATGTAACCAAGTGGAGCTGCATACAAACAAAGAGTGAAATAAGATTTGTGAAGTCCCACAGAAAATTAGCCCCCCCATCTCTGTACAGGCAGAGCAGTTATGACAGATGGAAAGGTAAACAAAATTTCCATTCAGGGGCAATGAACTTTCTCCCAGGATACTTTTAAAGGAGCTGGACAAGCCCATAACCAAATTGTGCCTGTTTACCAAATTGTGGGTGTAAATAAATGTCCGAATTGTACCGAAAAGCTGGTGTCCTGACAAATATTTTGCCTGTAATCTAAAGTGCACAACTTGAATTGTGTTCTAGTTTGTTCTTGGGAAGCAAGCTAGCAAGACCAGTCTTGCCAAGACCACAACTACAATCTTTGCGTTCTTGGTATTGAGAAACACCTATGGTCCTGACATCACCAAGCTCTTCTGGGGCCTGTTTCATGAAGCAGGATTTCTTGCTTAGCCGAATAACTTGTCAGATTTAAGGTAGTCAACAACAAATTACCTGGTGCCAGCAAGTTATCTAGCTGAGCAAGAAATCTGGCTTTGTGAAACAGGCCCCTGAGTTTTGCTTGGTGCTCCATCCTTCTATGTGACAAAGAAGGAAAATACCCTCTTTGCAGGACTCAGCTTTAAAGCCACCCCCCACACTTCCAAATGAGAAGTGGGGACACGTGAGCAGCCTCCATTGGTCCCCCTGTGGTTGGGTCCTGGCACAGACACACCCCTGTTACCTAACAGGCATGTTTGAGCAGCAACCAGCCTCAGTAACCTGTGCCGTGCTGATGTCGGCTACTAGAAACCCTGCATCATCCCCAGGTGACTTCAGCACATGGTAACCATGGTTACATCTCATGTGTGGGAGGTTGGAATCAAAGGTTGTATAGCTAGTGTTCGTGAAGAAATATAGCCATTATTAATATTATCTGTACAGCACAACACAGCCTAGACAGTTATTACGGGTCAAAAAAATGCATCTCGCATTTGTTTCACAGGTCCTGGAGTATCTGGGAAAATGTAAGGATGTTGTGAAATCCACACTCTTAATTACAGTGCTGGACTCTTCACTAAAATGAGACAATGCCTCTGGTTTGGTGCAGCACACGTGATGCAGGCTAGATATCACATTAGAGAGTGCTGATGGGCACTGAGATGACAGAACAGCCCATGGCAGAACTCACTGGACTGTTATGGAACTACTGACTTCCCACTGGGTGATGCACAGATAGTCTCTGCCCACTCTGAAGCATGTGATTCCCTGTCGAACGTTATTGCCCAAATATGCCATGTAAGAGAGGAGTCGTGTCACAGTGAAGAAGCAGCCCCACAGCAGCCATGTTTGGGAGCCTCCACAGGAAGGTGGGAGGAATAGGGAACCAATCACTGGTTTTGCTGGTTCTAACCTTTCAGGGTGGCCTTCTTTAATACCTTCATGGCGTAGAGCTGACCCTTGTCTGAGCCTTTCACTTTTCTCACCAGGAACACCTAGTGTGAGATGCAGAGAGATAAAAATATCAAGGTATGCCGATGCTCTTCACAGCTGCTGAGAGTGGGAACGCAGCCCTGCGTATGTTTACACAGTGATATAATGTTTTTAATAGTGCTTGCAAACATTATAAAAAAGAATGCTGCTACACGTAGCTGCATCTATCAGCAAGAAGGGCAGATCATTCTGATACTTAACCTTTTTGTAAAGAAACGTGCAAAACACGAAACCTATTAATTCATATTAAGTGCAGCGAAAATGCATTTGTGTTCCCATTACAAACATAGTAGTACTATGGAAAATTAAAATACGATAGAATGAAAGATTATAGAGGATTCTGGCGGAGCACACTGGTTCGCCCGCTTTCGCTAATCTGATTAGTTTAATCTTCAAGATGAACGCTTCATCCCCTCGGGCTCCAGTGACTGGGTCACTGAAGGCTCCAGAAAGATGGGGAGGCTGACCTACCTTCCCGTACGAGCCCTGGCCCAGCACCTTGAGCAGCTCAAACTGGGACGGGTCCGCTTTCTCAAAGCCCTCTTTGACGTGATGACTGATGTCGATTTCCTTGACGATGCTTTCATCCTGCAGGGAGCAGGAAGGACAGCAGGTGGCGTCACTTAAACTTCGATGAGACCCAACAGATGACATACCAGAGCAGACACCGAACGCCACACACATGTGGGGGCAGCCAACTGACCAGCTGACATGGTGGTCTGTGGTGGCGTGTGGTCTGTATGGACTGTGGGAACCGGCTTGGGCGAAGGTCATGTGACCTCCTCCCCATGCTTAAACAGCACACTGCTTTCAGGGATGCGGGTATCTCAAAGTCACCCTGTGTCATCGTGATGCCACCAGCGGTCTTAAGCTAGTGAGATGTGGGCCTGGGTGGCCCGATGCGTCCTGCGCGTGTGAGGGCAGAGTGCTGATATCCAGTGAGTGGTTTCCCTGTGAATCAGCATGATTCACTTTATAAAACAACATAATGCAGTCATGTGACGCCTGGAGCGACCTTAATCAGGACAAAGTGAAAAGCGGAGCTGTGCTGACAGCTTGTTCATAATAGAGACTAAATCAGCATCTCACTGCACGGCTGCGTAACAGGTGCCAGTATATACTGCACTGATTTCAAGCTGTGCCGGACGATTCTTCAAATATGTTTCATTTAATAAGTCCTTCGGTGACATAAACAGTCTTAGCTTGCCATCTGCGAGGTCCAGGCTGCGGGTCCCCGTCAGTGGTGAGTCATACTCACACCTGCTTAGTGCTGTAAAAAGTTACTTCTGCACGCAGATGGTCGCAATTAGTCACAGTTAATGAGACTGATTAAAGTTTCAAAACGTGCACATTTAAGCACGGCCACATAGCACATTATTGCAGCTCTGCCGGAGTGGGACATTTTACCTTCATTTACCTCAAAGCAACCTGTTACTTAAGCTGCTAACAAGTGTCCCTTATTACTGTACTACAATAAAATATATATGTATATTTACTGGCCCACGCGCTTTTATTCTTGTCTATCCTTCCTATGGTGTTGGGGTCGGCACCGACCCCTTTTTAAGTTTAAAATACATAAAAGCACCACATAGATTTCTGTACTGCATCAAGGCTTTTTGACTTTGTCAGGAATCTCTATTTAAACAAGATAAATTAAAACAAAATCAAGGCAAGGCATGCCCATACATGTAAGGCAAGATAAGACCAGTTCAGTTTATTTAATCTCAGTTTATTTATTTAAACTCTCGAGGTTTATTTTACCATTATTTTTTAATTGAAAACGAGAGGTATGCTGTCAAAAGAAAGGTCCAGAAAGCCACACCAAAAATATTAAAACCAATCTTTTCATGGACAAGGAAGCCTAACAAGGTAACCAAGAGGAAAGAAACAAATTGGATGATAAATAATTGTTTTGAGGGTATTTTATAGCTGATTTAAGACAGTCATGTGAGATGCGTAAGAGAAAGCTAATACAGGCCAAAGGCTATTTTCAGCACAAAGGTAATCATACTTCAGCAGACAGTGTTACCTGACTTAAGTGCTCACCTTATTTAGGATACTTTGCAAAGGTAACATAATCATTATGAAGATACCCTCCAGTTTTGTGAAATTACAGGTTGTGATGGCTACAGCAGTATGTACTGTTCCTCGGTACAAAACACTTACAGCAGCATGTTCAGAAAGCTCTGCATTTGGATTAAACTTACTGAAGGGCTCTCATAAAATGATCTTGCATTCAGAGTTGTAATTTTCCTGCTAATAATAATAAGAATATTTCTTTAGTGCCCTTTAAAGGCAGCATTTTGTAAACTGGTGAGAGATGATCTTTTGGTGGGCCTGCCGGTAAGTTCCCTGGGTGTGGGACTTGGGTGTGAGCCCCGGCATGGTGCTGGGCTGTGCACTATGAATAAGGGCCTTCCTGCACATGCGGCCCCAGCTTATATTTTTGGTGGGTATATAAAGTCTCCACTACAACCGAAAGGAACCAGAAAGCTGCGGATCCGCTGTCACCATTTCGGTAAATGAGAGGGAAGAAGCACATGTCTGACAACAGCCGCGATGCGCCTATTAAACCACATTACAGCAGCTTTTAATCTGCAGCAGGACATTCTTCATTATTCCTTAAATAAGTCATGGTGAAGTATTTCACTTTATCAGATTTCTTTGTCATGCTGACTCAAGGCGCTACGGCAAACCTGCTATTTGCAGCTGACTCAGTGCTTCTGGATCAGTATGATTCTGCCAGCACGACTTTAACTGTTAGTAGCTATTTATAAGCAAAACATTTTAAAAGACGTCTTTACAGCAATGGGTCTGACGTCTTTACAGCAATGGGCCACACGCCTTTACGGCAATGGGCCAGACGTCTTTACGGCAATGGGCCAGACGTCTTTACGGCAATGGGCCAGACGTCTTTACGGCAATGGGCCA